CTCCAGTACTACAAAAAAAAAAGGCGGGTGGGGTCGGAAGTACAGTTCAAGTTGTAGGGCAAGGGCAAGGCCCTGAGTTCAAATTCCAGTATCACAAAAAAGAAATTGTATTCTTGGGACTTAATGCAATCAGTTAGTGGGATTTGGCTTATTCCTATGAAGAAAACTAACCCAGAAAGATGCAAGTGAGTGCCTTATGGTGTTTTGACAGCAGAGGTGGCACTGCAGCCTTGATCCTCATCCACTGTGGAGTTCCTTAACTGAGCCTGGTTGGAGACGGGCCACCTGGGCTTCCTGGGAAGGGGATCTGCGGCTGTCTCTAGAACCAGCAGCTCATTTTCTTCCCTATCCCAGAGCCCAACCTGGGGGAAGATGATGAAGACAAGGACTTGGAGCCTGGTCCATCCGGGACCTCAAAGGCTTCAGCCCAGATCTCAGGCCAGTCGGACACAGACATCACAGCTGAGTTCCTGCAGCCTCTGCTGACGCCCGACAATGTGGCCAATCTGGTGAGGATGGTGGGCTGTCCCCCAGGTGGGAGGAAGAATCTCCTTGTCCTTTGCCCTCCCTCCACTCCAACCTGGCCCACCGCCTCCCCACATGGTGTCAGCGTAGAAGGTCCTCTTACCTTCCTGGACCTCTCTTCATCCTTACTCCTTCAGGAGGTCACTTTCACCTCCCAGTGGCTAGTGGCCCCTCTTTAAGGCATCCAAACACGTCCCTCCCCCCTCAGGGTCCTCATCTTGGAGTTGAAGCAGGTAATTGAATGTTTGTAGAGTGGTGCAGGATCAGGTTTCTTATTCCTCAGGAGGCTAAGTGCCATGAGAGCACATCCAGGTTGGCTTCAGTCAATGCAGCTTCCCCAGGGCTGGTCTGGGTATGGGCCAGCACCTGCTGAGCTAAGGTTAAGGAGAGGCTCCTGTCCCTGACCCACTGGCAGGTCCTCATCAGCATGGTGTACCTACCTGAGGCCATGCCTGCCTCCTTTCAAGCCATCTACACCCCAGTGGAGTCAGCAGGTACTGAAGCCCAGATTAAGCACCTGGCTCGGCTCATGGCCACACAGATGACAGCTGCAGGACTTGGCCCAGGTGAGTGTCACGTGGGGCTGATGTAGGCTGGGTGTGGCATTGGGTTCTGCTTCCTGGAAAGGGTACCTCCTCAAGGTCTGGAGATGAAGAGCACATGCTCTAGCTCTTCATCTAATCTGTAAATTAAACTGGGAACCAGTGGCTCATGCCTGTAATCCTAGCTACTCATGAGGCAGATATCAGAAGGATCATGGTTCAGTGCCAGCCCAGGCAAATAGTTCTCTAGACCCTATCTCAAAAATACCCAACATAAAAAAATAGGACTGGCCAAGTGACTCAATCAGTAGAGTGCCTGCCTAGCAAGCATGAGGTCCTGAGTTCAAACCCCAATGCCACCAAAAAAAATAATAAACACAGGCCTCACAGTTAGGATGAGTGCTCAGTATCTTAGGCCCTGGCTTTAAAATCAGGCTGGGTTTAAGTTCTATTTGAATCAGACAGTGTCATCTACTTAATAGCTTGTGGCTTTCATCAGATCACTAACCCCTCTGAGCCTCAGAATTTTCTCTATTAACATACTTTTGAAGATAAGTTACGTACAGTGAAGTGCAACTCTAATGTATACACCTGAATGAATTTCACAGAGGTGAAGTTCCAGTGTAGCCACCACCCAGATGAAGAAAGAGTCCGTTTCTACCACTCCATGAGGCTCCATGAGTCACCATTCAGGGCAGCTCACCTCCAGAGATACCCAATTCTCTGATTTCTGCCTCTCTAGATGTCTGCCTCTTTTTTTTTTTTTTTTTGAGACATGGTCTCCCTATGTAGCCCAGGCTGGCCTTGAACTTGAGATCCTCCTGCCTCAGCCTCCTAAATGCTGGGACCACAGACTAGCCACCATGGCCGGCTTGCTTCTTGAACTTGACACAGGTGGAATTACCAAGAGTCTGGCTTCTTTTGCACACCATAGTTTTTGTGATTGATCCCTCCTGTCACGTGAGCTGGTTTTTTTTTTTTTTATTGCTTATTAGTGTCCCCTTAAAGAAATACACCACCATGTTTCCCGTTTTGCTATCGTGAGTAAAATTGCCATGAGCAGTGTTGTGCACACATGGCAGGAGTGGAGTTGTTAGGTCCGGGGTTAGGGTGTGATTCCTGCTGTCATGTTATTGAAGTGTCTTTGCCACTGCTGCCTCTCAGTGATGAAAAGCATCTCTGTTTGTACCTCGGTCATTATGTTGCAAAGTGAGGATGAAGAGCAGCCAGTGGTGGAAGGGACTGTGCAGGTTCAGACAGGAGTCTGTGCACATGAGTCTTGGAGTGCAGCCAGGCTGCAGTAGGGCCTGGGATGGGGCAGTGAGCTAACGCACTGGTGCCCACCCATGGCTGCCTCCCTTTCAGGTGTGGAGCAGACCAAGCAATGCAAGGAGGAGCCCAAGGAGGAGAAGGTGGTGAAGCCAGAGAGTGTCCTGATCAAGCGGCGCCTGTCAGCCCAGGGCCAGGCCATCTCTGTGGTAGGCTCTCTGAGCTCCATGTCCCCGCTGGAGGAGGAGGTACCCCAGGCGAAGAGGAGACCAGAGCCCATCATCCCTGTCACGCAGCCCCGGTGAGTCCCCTTCTGGGTGCAGGGATAGGGTAGGAGCCCTGCCTTGAGTCTGATTCTCAGGCATATGCATGTGTTTGAGGTAAACTGGCAGAAAGTCTGAACCAGGTTCTCTCAGGCTCAAGTCAGTGCCATAACCACTAAGCGTTTGTGGCCAAACATGGTGGCCTCACCTCTCTATTCCTGACCCCTCACCCTGCTGGGCCTCGGAGTCATGGGGAATTTGGAGACAGCATTAGGGGCAGAGTTCTCTGTGTGGCCTGCCTAGTCTGAGGTGGAAGGGCACCAGACAGGCTGGGCTGCAGAAGGGTTGCTGAGTCACTTGCCCTGTCTCTGCTCTCCCATCTAGGCTGGCAGGTGCTGGTGGGCGCAAGAAGATCTTCCGTCTGAGTGACGTGCTGAAGCCCCTGACAGATGCCCAGGTGGAAGCTATGAAGCTGGGCGCTGTGAAGCGGATCCTGCGGGCTGAGAAGGCTGTGGCCTGCAGCGGGGCGGCCCAGGTGCGCCCTGTTCCTGCCTTCCTGCCCGCCCCTCTCCTTGAGTGCTTGCCACCTCTTACTCCAGCAAGAGTCCCCAGCAAGACATGCCCTTGACTGCAGCCTGCAGCTCTGCCACTCACTGCCACCTTCTAGCCTCACATCTGTCCTCCATCAAATGGAGAAAGGAGCAGGCGGCTCTTGTCTGGGGACAAGGAGGGTAAAGCTGCACATGTGGTCTTCATCACCGTGGGCTGGGGCACATGAGGGCTGCTCCCACATCCTGGTTTTTTGGTTTTTTTTTTTTTTTTTTGTAGTACTGGGGTTTGAACTCAGAGACTACACCTTGAAGCCAGCCCTTTTTTGTGAAGGGTTTTTTCAAGATAAGGTCTCACGAACTGCCTGGGCTGGCTTCAAACCATTGTCCTCCCAAGTAGCTAGGATTACAGGCATGAACCACTGGTGACCAACCCACATCCTGGTTCTGAATGAGCCAGTAGTGTATGAACATGCACTCTGTTAAAACTACTTCCAGGCAGCACAGATATAGCAGTCTTCCTTGACTATCTCCTGCACACCCTGTCCCTTCCCCAGAGGTGGCTGTGCACAAATTATGGGGATTGCCAAGGTCCTTGCCTGGGCTCTTCTGGAAACTCAGTGTTTGTTAGGTGACGATTGATGTTTTATTTCTTCTCTTTTCCTCCACCACCCTGCTGCTGACAGAAAACTCTTTGGCCTGCCTTCCTCACTTTTATACCCTGTCTACACTTGGGGTCCTTAGGCCAGTGGAAGGAGCAGCAGAGGGTGATTGTGGAGTGCCATGTTTGCACACCCCACAGTGATATGCTTGCTGGCCCTCCCACCAGGTGCGTATCAAGATCCTGGCCAGCCTGGTGACACAGTTTGACTCAGGCCTCAAGGCTGAAGTCTTGTCCTTTATCCTGGAGGATGTGCGGGCCCGCCTGGACCTGGCCTTCGCCTGGCTCTACCAGGAGTACAACGCCTATCTGGCAGCTGGTGCTGCGGGCACCCTGGACAAATATGAAGCCTGCCTCATCCGCCTGCTCTCTGGCCTTCAGGAGAGACCAGACCAGAAGGATGGGTAAGAGGTTCCCCTGGGCCTTCCTTTCCCTACTGTGTCCTGCTTCCCTTGCCCTCCCTACCACCACCTGAGTGAGTTCTCCTTGTACCTGTCTCTTTCCCCTCCAGAAGCATGCAGAGGCCGGTTTTGAGATCAGGCACTGGGCTAGTCTCCCTGGGCTGTTCTCAGCCCTGCTACTTGCTCTGAGTAGCCTCTCACTTCCACCCTCTGGGCCTCTGTGTTCCATCTGTAACACCAGTTCTTCTCCCTGAGTTTATGTTGTAGTTTCCTCCCTGTTCTTGACATTCTTGGCCTCTAGCTTATCCATTTGTCTTCTACATGGCAGCTCTGGTGACACTTTTTAATGTGAATCCTGTCTGATAACTGCTCCTGGGATAAAATACAGCCTCCTTCCTATGACCTATGAAGTCTTCTGAGACCCAACCGCTCCCAACCTCTTTACCCACATTTTCTGTCCCTCATCCCCTAAATTTTAGCCACATTAGTCTTCTGCCTCTTCCTTGAACATGCCAAATTCAGGGCCTTGACACCTACTATTCTGTCTGCCTCTGCTTTGCATGGCCAGCTGGCTCCTTCTCGTCTTACCATCAGCATTGACTCGAACTTTACCTCAGAGTTGGCCTTTTGTGGCTCCCTCATCAAAGTACCAACCCCTTTCTCCACCCCCATTGTTCCTTCCCTTTGCTGTGTAAAATGAGTGGCTCAGGCAGATAGCACCTGCCTAGAAAAAGTGAGGCCCTAAGTTCAAAACCCAGTACTGCCGGAAAAAAAAAGACTTGGTGTGTTAACACTTAGATGCATGAAGTGAGGAATCCCTGCCAGACAAAAGGGAAAGACTGAGCTTCCTAGAGGGGAAGTGGAAAGTCTCTGCCCACAGCAACCAGCCAGCAGCTTTGAGCCCGGGCCTGTTCACATCCAAAGCTCAGAAACCAGGGTAAACAAGCTGTCTCTGTGCTTGGGCCACTGGGGCCTCTCTGTAGCCATGTCCTGTGCCTCCCTCTGCCAGGATCTTCACCAAGGTGGTGCTGGAAGCCCCACTCATCACTGAGAGTGCCCTGGAGGTGATTCGCAAGTACTGCGAGGATGAGGTGAGCCCACTGGCTGTGGGGCAGGGGACAGGGCCCTGCCTTTGTGCAGCTTGAGGGCATTCTGCCTAGACCTGGTAGCAGCAGTGGCATGAGTAGCCCAGCCCCTGGGATCTGATCTGAGGGAGGGAAGAGAGGCACAGCAGTAGGCTGAGTTCTGGCTCCCTCCCTCTTGTCGCAGAGCCGCACCTACCTGGGCATGTCCACTCTTAGAGACTTGATCTTCAAGCGCCCGTCCCGCCAGTTCCAGTACCTGCACGTCCTCCTAGACCTCAGCTCCCATGAGAAGGACAAGGTGATTCTGCGCCTCACACCAGGCTCCACTCAGTCAGCAGTTTGCACAGGCCTCATCTGTCCTAGCCAGCCTCTTTCCTGCCCCTGAGCCGTTCCTGTCTTAGAAGCCAGAGGTGCCATGCCTGGCTCTTACTGTTGTGTACACACTTGACCTCATTCAAAGGCAGGCCCTTTCTCACTCTTCTTCCACCTGTGTTGGTGAACTTGAGCTCCTCTCAAGGTTGGAGCCTGGGCACCAAGCAGCAGAGAACCTGGTGTGACCACCAGACAGTGAAGACATAGTACAATCAGAGCAGTGGGCAGCAGTGGGAGCCTGCACCATTGGGTCAGGGTGGGTAGGGAAGGTAGGTCAAGGAAGCATCCTGGAGGAGGGGACACGTGGACTGAGCCCTGAACTGTGAGTAGGTTGGTGTGCTCTAGATGGCACAGATGTGCACATGCTGTGGTTGGCAGGAGCTCTTGACCCACCCCCAGTAAAGCCTTTTCCAGATTCTTGTCCTGGTGGCACATTTGTTCCTTCATCAGACCTTCATTGTGCACCTCTGGCCTTGGCCCTAAGGCCAAGACCAGACCTTGTTCTCATGGCTCCTAGCAGGTGGTATCTTAATAGGATTTAGCCAGTGACAGACACCTAACATGCTAGGTTTCAAAGCCAGGGTGACTTGGCAAAGAGCATCACTGTTGAGAAACCAGGAAATGCTTCTTCTGCTTGAGGGGAGTGAGCCAGACAAGGAGCTGCCAGAGGACACAGGTCACCGCTGGGCTGGGCCATCTGCAAGCTGGGCTCATTTCACATTAGTGCTGCTCAGAGTACTGGTGGCCCCACACCAGCCACACCTCTGCATCCTGCCCACTCCCTCAGGTGCGCTCCCAGGCCCTACTGTTCATTAAGCGTATGTACGAGAAGGAGCAGCTGCGAGAATATGTGGAGAAATTTGCCCTCAACTACCTGCAGCTCTTGGTCCATCCCAACCCACCATCCGTGCTGTTTGGAGCCGACAAGGACACAGGTTTGCTGCAGGTTCATCAGATGCATGTCGAGCCCTGCCCAGCCTGCTAGGAGGACACTGGACAGCAGTGATGGGTCACTGCAGCCAGGGGGCTGCAGGGCGGGGAGAATGGAGGACAAGGCAAGCAGCCGATGGCAGGCTTCAGGAAGGACCACCTCAGGCCAGGTCCCTCAGCAAAGCCCCAGGTCCTGCAAAGTTACAGGTGGGGAAACCTGGGCCCCAAGTACATGGACCCTTAAATGAACAAGGCCCAGCCTGGGTGCTGGGCAGCATGCCCAGGTGAGCATGAGGCCCAGGGATGAGACGATGTGAGAATTGGCGGTGATCCCAGCAAAAGAGACACCAGTGAAGACCTAGCAGTGAGGGCCCTCAGGGACTGTAGGTTGTGGCTAGCATAGGGTGGCAGAGGCAGTGGCCAGATGAAGCAGGTGGATGAGCTGCCCCATATGGCACCTAGCAGATGCAAGATGAGGAGCTGGGCACTTATCCTGAGGCCACAGGGAAGTCATGGCAGGACATGGAGAGGGACAGGATCAGAACCGCACTTTAGTCTTGAGGCTGGAGGTGGTCCTGGCTTCTTCTCTGCTGGTCCCCCTCTCCCCACTGACCTGCTCCCTGAGAAGGGACAGCCACTGGAGAAGGGGGTGTTGGGAAGGGAATGTGAGCCAATCTGATGTGCAGCCCTGTCCTGTCAGAGGTGGCGGCCCCCTGGACCGAGGAGACGGTGAAACAGTGTCTGTACCTCTACCTGGCACTCCTGCCTCAGAACCACAAGTTAATCCACGAGCTGGCGGCCGTGTACACCGAGGCTATCGCTGACATCAAGCGGACGGTTTTGAGGGTCATTGAACAGCCGGTGAGGGCCCTGAGCCCACCAGACTCTGCTGACCCCTGTGCAGGCTGAATCCTTAACTCCAGCTCTTCCCTGAGTGTTTCATTAGTGGGTGCTAAGCACACAGGGCTGTCGCCCATGGCACAGCTCTAGTTTGTGGGTGGTGCTCATGTTGTCCATCAGCTCATGAGAAGAAACAGGGTGGCCCCGCAGCCAAGAGCCTGGAGCCAAACAGACCTGGGATCACATTCTGCCTCTTCCTTCCTCACAGTGACCCTGAGCCTTCAGTAAAAGTGGGAGGTGCAATTCAGTCCCCCCAGGCAATTACAAGAAGTCTGTGAACACATGCATATCAACATCTGAGCCATTGTCACTGATGAGCTGGCTTCCCCTGTGCTGTTAATGGCAACCTTTGCCTGTCTACATAAAAACAAATCTTGGGCTGGTGGAGTGGCTCAAGTGGTAGAGTGCCTACCTAACAATCACGAGGCCCAGAGTTCAAACCTCAGTACCACCAAAAAAATATATATATATCTTGTGGGCCAGAGGCATGGCTCAAGCAGTAGAGTGCAAAGCCCTGAGTTCAGACTGCAACACACACACACACACACACACACACACACTCTCTCTCTCTCTCTCTCTCTCTCTCTCTCTCTCTCTCTCTCTCTCTCTTTCCACAGCCACAAGGCAACTCGTGAGAGGCAACCTGCTGGCCAGCCAGCACCTGCAGCTCAGAGTGGCTGCCCTCAGTTCGCAGCTGAGTTTGAAATAGTTTAAATCTCATCTGTGCCTTGACTTCTTTTTTTAATGGAAAATTTCCCATAGAAACGGAGAAGGGTTGGGGGTATGGCTTGGTGGTACAGTGCTAGCCTAGAATGTCCCAGGCCCTTTGTTCAATACCCAGCACCATCAAAAAAAATAATAAGTTTGCTTGTAATCCCAGCACTTGGGAAGCTGAGACAGGAGGACTGAGTTCCCGGTCAGCCTGGGCTATGTAACAAAACTTTGTCTCAAAACACTCGAAAGGAGGGAGAATGGTATGTTTAGCCCCACATACCTGCCTCCCAGATGCCTGTAAAGTGGGGATAATGGAAGTATTTGTCTCCCAAAGCCATAGCTAACTGAACCTGCCTGGGACAATGGTATTTATAGGGGAGGTGACCAGGAGCTGGGAAAGCTCTCGCAAGTAGTGGAAACACAAGTTGGATATTAAAAGTCAGCTAGATTTGAGACCTGGGGGTTGGGGTGGGGTGGGATGGGGTGGGGCTGGCCTGTTAGGGAGGAGGACACATAGAAAGGCCAAGATGGGTGTTGGAGCACAGCCCATCTGAGACTGGGGGAAAGAGACCTGTACCCTCCTACCTTCCCTAGCTGCCCTGCCTTCCCCCTTAGTCCCAGCATCCACTCAGCCACTCCAACTCTCAATCCTGGCTTGGTCCTCCCCATGTTTGTCTCTAGATCCGAGGTATGGGCATGAATTCGCCTGAGCTGCTCCTGCTGGTGGAAAACTGCCCCAAGGGGGCAGAGACCCTGGTCACCCGCTGTCTGCACAGCCTCACAGATAAAGGTGCCCTGGACCTCGCTTTTCCCCTTGCCTCCCTCCAGGCCTTCCCCACCCCTTGCTCCTGGCCCTGGAGGTCAGAACTACCATCCTTGGCTCAGTTTCTGTCTACAGCAGGGTGGTGCCTGCTGCATATCAGAATCCAGGGGCCCATCTTCCCCGCTTCTCCCTCTGGGTGCTCCCATTCATCATCCCCCTGCCACCCCAACTCTGACTTACTGCTTATCCTCCCTCAGTGCCACCCTCCCCAGAGTTGGTGAAGCGGGTCCGTGACCTGTACCACAAGCGTCTGCCTGATGTCCGCTTCCTCATCCCCGTGCTCAATGGGCTGGAGAAGGTACAGAGCTGGCCACTGGGTGCAAGGACGGGAAGGGGGGGGAAGGGGCAGGGCACCCGGGAGCCAGAGAGGAGGTAGAGCAGAACTTGCCTGTGGTCAGAAGTCTCAGAACTCTTGGATGCGAGGCACCCTTGAACAGCACTTAGGAGCATCCCGGGCCTGCTTCACTACGCTCCTTAGAGGCCTCACTTTGCTTACCCATCAGATGGGGATCCTGCCCCATGCATGTGGACAATTGTCCTGAAGCATGCATGGAGTGGAGGGTACACCACTGTCACCAACACGTGGGAAGCACCCCCTCAGGTGCTCCATCCAGGGTGGGTCGTACGCCTAATGATCTGTGGGACCTTGAGCCAAGCTCACTTCTTCCTGAAGGGGGATTTGGGTGGTGAGGGAGGGAGTGTCTGAGCGACAGGTGGGAGCTTGGTGCAAAGGGTAGTGGTGTGCATCCAATCCCCCACCCCAACTTCTCCTGGTAGAAAGAGGTGATCCAGGCCCTGCCCAAACTCATCAAACTCAACCCCATCGTGGTGAAGGAGGTCTTCAACCGGCTGCTGGGCACCCAGCATGGTAGGTCAATTCCCTTCATACTGGGCAGGAGAGGTGGGGGACCAGAAAGGCTGTGGTGTCCCCTTAGACACACAGAATATGTCTCCTGTGTGCTGGAACATCTAGGCCAGGGACTCCGGTTCTGCCACAAACTCTAACCTGAAACCCTCAAGGTGTGGGCTAGGAGCATTTTGTCTGACATGGTCAAAAAGAAACAAAAATAAAACATTCAAGAAAGAAAAATTAGCAAGTAACATAGAATGGATTCCTTGCCCCCCTTCCCTGTGGCCATAGCTAAGGAGAGAGAGTGGTGCAGGGTGTGTGTTCACAGCACCTGATAGTCTGCTTCTTCCCATCCTCTACACACACTCTCTCTGTCTCTCTTTTGGTTAAGTCCACTGCCATGCCCCAGGAGTGCGTTCAGGGTGCGCAGCCCAAGGCGGGGAGAGAGCCACCTTATAACCAGGGAGGACAGAGCAGGCGACAAGCTCAGGCAGCTTCATGCAGTCTTCCTCTGCTCCAGCCTTCTGTCCCCCAGTCCCTGTAAAGCAAGGACACCCTGGCTCCATCCACTGCCTCCCCAATCTAGATAGCTCGGACACATCTTTTAGGCCTCCTTACTGCCCACCCCTCCCCCTTTGCCACCCACTGCAGGTGAAGGCAACTCGGCCTTGTCCCCCCTGAACCCTGGAGAGCTCCTGATTGCGCTACACAACATTGACTCAGTGAAGTGCGACATGAAATCCATCATCAAAGGTGAGGCCCCCTCCCCTACCCCCCCAGAGGTTGGCCCCTCTCAACTGGGGTCAGAGCCTCAGTCTTTCCCATGGCTCCATTGTAATCTGCAACATGGAAGACTGCCACCTGCAGCCCTGCCTTCTTCCCAGGTCCTACCCCAGCTCCATGTAAGGCACTCGTGCATTGGCACCCGCTGGTCCTGGGGAATGAGGGCACCCCCTCCTACCCTAACCCCCGTGAGCAGGTCAGAGGCCTGGGGCACCTGCTGTCATGAGTAGGTGCCAGCCTGAGTTGAGGCAGAAGAGTGCACCTCTGTTTGAGTGTTTGGTGGGTCTCTGGCCAGCTCTCCACGAGCCCCCAGGCATTCACTCTGAGCCAGGCTCTCACTGTGTGCCCATGGGCTGCTGCTGATCCAGTCACGATACCTGGTGAGCTTGTTGCGGACAGGAGCCGGAGTTCCAGATGGGCTAAGTAAGTTGCTCAGGGCCACACAGGAGCCGAGCGGTGTAACGGCGCGCAGAACCTGAGATAAAGAGGACCTGAGTTGAGAAAGGTGCCTGCTGCGCACAGATCTCCAACACCTCCCCTGACAAGGCCACAGCCCTTAGCCCTCCCCAGAGGTTTCTGGGCTAGGAGGTGGAGGCCCTGCCTGTTATCCTCTGCTCCAAAGACCACTGTCCTTTGATTCCTCTTCTTATCTGGGTGAGGGCTTCCTCTCTGCCACCTTGGGATTCCTTGGTCCGTGTTGTCACTTACGTTGCTTCAGTAGCTTCCTTCCTAGCTTTGTCAGCAAGTTCTCAGATCAGAAGAGGAGTTGTGAAGCTGTGACTGAGGAAGCCCAAGTCCTCTAAGGGAAGAGCAGGGGGAGAAGAGGGTCTCCAAGGTCACGGTCCAGGACTGTGGTCTTTAGACTCCCTGACCCCTCCCCTTTTCTTGGTGGTGGTTCTGGGGATTGAACCCAGGGTCTCCAGCATGCTAGACAAGCGCTCCACCCCTGAGCCACACCCCCAGGGCTTTTGTTTGTATTTTGTTTTTGAGACAGGGTCTTGCTAACTTTGTCTGGGCTGGCTTTTTCTAATTATTTGAGGGAGGGAAGTTGCTGATAACAGCATCCCCTTAACAGCCATTCCTGGACCTAGAATAGAAACCCTGGCTTGCCCAGTTCTGTGGTGTAATGCAGAAAAACAGGAGAGGGAAGACACCTTGCTGGCAATCACACAGGTGGCCAGTGCTTAGGGCTCTGAGCCAACCTGACTTTTTCCATTGCACTGAGGCCTGCACACATCCCCCATTCTTGCTGGACCCCAACACTGCCGTGGCTGTCCATCTGCAGCTCCTATTGGGCTTATCCAGAGCAGGTTCCCTTGCTAGGCACCCATGTGTCCTGGATGCACTGTACACCTCAGGGGGAGAAGTCCCACCCTTCCCCGGGTACCCCTGGAAACCCAGCATCCCCTGCCATTCATTCCCACAAACCACCCTCTTCTGTAATGCCCTGCCCCAAGTGATCTGTTGGAGCAGTTAAGAAAACTCCTTGAAGCTAAGCATGGTAGGACACATCTGTAATCCTAGCACTTGGGAGGCTGAGGCAGGAGGATCATGAACTTGACACCAGGTTGGACAACATAGTGAGACTGTCAAAAAAAGATACAAAACCTCACCACTAGCCTCACAGAGGGAGACAGTCATTCCTGGGCAGTAGGGACTCAAGGGCAGAGCAGGGCTATGACAGCCAGAGGGGCCACCTGACCCAGCCTGGCTGTAGAATAAGAGGCCTGGACAAGGGACCACCTGCTGAGAGAAGGGTGAGTAGGAGGAGGTGACAGCTGACAGGAGTCCATCTAGAGCCCCAGGGCTGTACCAGCCATCCTCAAAGTGCTGAACCAGCCTGGTGGACCCTACGGGTATTTGGCCTTGACCTCTTGCCATTCTCTAGGAAGAAGAAGGTGAGATTTGAGCTTTTATAATCGCCCTTGGTTGCTGTATGGAGAGGAGATTAAAGACTGAGAAGAGGCCTAGAGGAAATTAGCTGGGGTGGGGGCACACTAGGGGGAGGAAAGGGCTGGAGCCTATAGGCAGCTGGACAACAGGACTTCGGCCAGGAAGCGTCAGTGCTTAGGTTCTAGCAGGTTCTCACTCTATCCTTCAGCCTCCTCCGTCTGTCTTCCTGCAGTGCCACCCTCCTCCCTCTTTGGGCCCCCCTGTTCCTTATAGGACCACCCCCATTCTCTGCTAGCCTCTCAAGAATTGGGGTTTTCTCTTCTGGCTCAATAAAGACTTCCTGCTTGACAGACTCAATGGCCAGTGGTGTTTGGGGATGAAGGGTTTCAGAGGTAGCTCCTGGGCTCTCCCTGTTAGCACAGTTGACCAGGCACTGCCACCTGCTCCTGGGGACACAGACCCCAAGGTTTGCCCTTAGGGGCACTTGTGTTTTGCCAGCCCTGTGCACTCTGCTGGCGCTGGGTACTGAGCTGGGGGAGGGGGTTTATCATATGCCCAGGCCTGCCTCCTCTTGTCTCTCTTCCCTGTTACTTTACTGAGTATCCCTGTGTCACCACACACACACATGGTGTCCCTTGGCACCAGTACAGACCTGCCTGTCCTCAACTAGCCTTCTGGTGGAGTACTACCTGTGTCCCTTCTGGGGGAGCCTCCCCTTCCCAGCAGGCTTCCTGCCACCCTGTCAAGCCAGAGTGGGCCCTAGCGCATCTTTCCTGCCTTAGCCTCCCCAGGACTGTCCTCAGAGAAGGGGCCAACATCCGCCGTGGGCCCAGCATGGGGCATCCAGGAATTGGACATGCCTTCTTCCCTGAACATGCCGCAGGCCTCCCAAGGCTGGACCACAGTGTGCCCTCATAAGAGGCCTTTGACTAGGGACGGGAAGCCTTCTCACTGGCCTGCACAGGGCTGAGGGTTTCAGAATGGTGGTGGGGCTCCTCCCGTGGGCAACCGGGCAAAGAGGACAGGCCAACTCTCCGCCTCCTCACAGCCACCAACCTGTGCTTTGCGGAGCGGAACGTGTACACGTCGGAGGTGCTGGCCGTGGTGATGCAGCAGCTCATGGAGCAGAGCCCCCTGCCCATGCTGCTCATGAGGACCGTCATCCAGTCCCTGACCATGTACCCCCGCCTGGGGGGCTTCGTCATGAACATCCTGGCCCGCCTCATCATGAAGCAGGTAACCCGTCCCTGGCCATCCGGCCTCTGCGCCTCCTCCCCAAGGGAGCCTAGCATGGTGCCAGCTCCTCTGGGCCCCTGCCCTTCCTCCAGCCAAGAAAGCAGAGTGCAGGGGCCTCTGAGCCGGATGACTACAGGGTGGTGAGTGAGGGTAGCTGGGTAGCAGGAGGGGTGTCGGGGCGGCACGCCAGCAAAGGTATGGCTGCCCCTTCCCCTCGCTACTATGCACCAAAGGAGTTCTACCATGCTTTTTGTTTCAAGAGCATAGAAATTAGGGCTTTTAGAAATACATGACTCAACAAAAAGCAAGTCCTACCTGCAGGCAGCAGACTGGATTCGGCACACAGGCTTGCCTGGAGTCAGATCTGGGTTCAAATGCTGCTTCTGCTCCTGTGACCCTGCTCAGGTCCTTACCCTGTGGCCTGTTTAGCAGGCTAATGTTGCCCTCTTGAGGCCGCGTGTGGACCACGAGATGCTGCTCACCTACCATTGGGCCTGGCCTGCCCCAAGGAGAGCTGCAGGGAAAGGGGGTGCTGTTCCCCAAGTCCTCGGGTTCCAGCTGCTTAGACAGGGAAGGGTGGACTGTATTGTAGGTCCGTGGGTTCCTCCAGTCCCAGGGTGGGATGTGGGTCCCAGTCTTGGCCAGATCTTTCTTCCAGTGCCCACTGCCCCCTGCGAAAGCTCTCTTGTGCCCCTACCCCCGGTGCAGGTGTGGAAGTATCCCAAGGTGTGGGAGGGCTTCATCAAGTGCTGCCAGCGCACCAAGCCCCAGAGCTTCCAGGTCATCCTGCAGCTGCCGCCCCAGCAGCTGGGCGCCGTCTTTGACAAGTGCCCGGAACTCCGGGAGCCCCTGCTGGCCCACGTGCGCTCCTTCACCCCCCACCAGGTACCCAGGGTGTGGGGCTGCCAGCGCCAAGGGCAGGATGGGGAGTGGGCAGAGGGGAGCCCGAACTGCCACAGAAGGCCTGGAACTCCGGAGGGTCAAAGTCCCGGCGTCTGGGATGACCCAGAGAGGTCTCCAGGCCGGAGCTTTCCACAGCGCCCCCTCCTCTCTTCACCAGCAAGCACATATCCCCAACTCCATCATGACCATCTTGGAGGCCAGCGGCAAGCAGGAGCCAGAGGCCAAGGAGGCGCCTGCAGGGCCCCTGGAAGAGGTGAGGGCCATGCAGCCGCCCACCTCCATTCCCGCCCTGCCCACCCTGGGAGGCGCGGCTACCTGAGCCGCCTGTCCCCAAGCCTGGGGCAGGAAGCAGGGCGGGGGGCAGCCGCCTTTCCCACTGTGTCCACAGTGAAAAGGGGCTGAGCTGGGCGCCCTCCTTCTCCCCTTCCTGAGCTGCGCGCCCCTCCCGTCCCAGGACGACCTGGAGCCCCTGGCTCTGGCCCCTGCTCCGGCCCCCCGGCCCCCGCAGGACCTCATGGGCATGAGGCTGGCCCAGGAGAAGGCCTTGAAGCGCAGCTGGAGGAGGAGCAGAAGCTGAAGCCGGCGGGCGTGGGTGCGGCCGCCGCCTCCTCGTGCCCCGCGCGGCCCGGGCCTCCCCCGGCCGAGGAGGCCATGGATTTCCGGGAGGAGGGGCCGGAGTGCGAGACCCCGGCCATCTTCATCAGCATGGACGACGACTCGGGGCTCACCGAGGCCGCGCTCCTGGACTCTAGTCTTGAGGGGCCCCTCCCTAAGGTAGGGGTGACAGCCCGAGCTGTGAAGAGAGGGAGGGTGGGGTGGGGGAGGGGCGCGAGGTGGCCGGAGGCCCCCTCCTGACCTGCCGCCCCCTGCCACTTCCCGCCACCAGGAGGCAGCAGTGGGCGCGCCCGCCGCGAAGGAGGAGCGGAGCCCGCAGACCCTCGGCCCCGCGGGGGACGACGCCAAGACACCCAGCCCCGCGGCCGAGGAGGCGGGGGAGCCCGAGGCCAGGGGCAACAGCTGACGGGGCTGGGGGGCGGGGGGACGGGCCGGAGCAGCAGGGCTTTGCCTTGAAACTAATAAAGGAGGTGGGCTCCGGACACGGGTGCCAAGTCGTCTCTGCCGCGTGCTGGGCGGGCATGCGCCCCGCCTCTGCCGACGTCGCCCCCGCGTCCCGCGCCCCCGGTAACCGCCGGCCAGCGGCTGCCAGGTGTGTGGCCTACCTGCCTGCAAGCCTTTCTCCTACAAGTCCGCGCCCCCTTCCAAAGCATGGGGGAGCGGCCCCCCAACCCCGAGCACTCCGACCGGAGGACTTCGCAGACCTCCCGGCAGCCCCCGGCGGTGGTCCCCCGGGAGGCGCAGCAGGTCCCGTACCAGCAGCAGGACTGGTACCTGGCCGGCCCGCCCCAGGCCCTGCCCACGTACTACCCGGCTGAGGTGGGTGGCGTGGCCTACCCGGCCATGAACATGGGCTTTCCCGCCGAGTTCCAGAGCCAGTCCTACCCAGATGAGAGAAGGTTCCATGGTGGCGAGGTCCACGCCGACCTAATGCCACAGGACCACAGCAACCTCTTCCAGACACTGGAGTCCACCTACCAAGACCCTGGGGCCAACGTCCTGGGCCAGGTCAGCATGTACCAGGGAGAAGACCAGCAGCTCAACCCAAATACTCGGCACGGGCCCCACCTGAGGGACGCCCTGACCCTCCAGTACTCGCACTCAGAGCCCTTCAGCAGGGAGGCGCCCGAGCCCGAGGCGCGGGAGCTGGCGGTGCAGAACGCCAAGGCCTACCTGCTGCAGACCAGCGTCAATTGCGACCTCAGCCTGTGAGAGGGGCCGGGAAAGGGGGGGGGGCTTGTGTCACCAGAGTGGCTCCTCACAGGGACGTGTTAGTTGCTCTGGGAGTTAGAGAAGTAACACCTTTAGCTAGTATTGGCTCACCAGACATTGCACTGGCACTGCGTACCAAGGTCTACTCACAGCTGGGATTAGCATGGCTTCCTGGCGCTACTTTACACAGAAGGAGACTGAACCAGAGAGGTCAGAGCACTTATCCAAGGTTGCACAGCTAGGATGCAGCAGGACCAGAACAAAACTTCATTCCAGAGCGAATGGTTTGGCTCCTGAAGTCACGTTCAGTTTTTGTCGGTTTGGGTTGGTTGGTTGTTCAAGACAGCATATCCCAGGCTGACCTTAACTCAGAATCCTCCTATTAGCCTCCCAAGCACTGAGATTACAGGTGTGCACCACCACACTTGGGTAGACCCTATTCTTGCTCACTAAATCCTGTCTGAGGAAGGCACTTGCCGAAGTAGCTGCAGCCCCAATCTACATCTTAGACTCTAAAGCTCACATTGCAGAGAAGGGACAATAAACATTCAAAATAACAAGGTGGGAGATAATAACTAAAGCAAGCTGCTGGAGTGGCTCAAGTGGTAGAGCACCTGCCTAGCAAGCATGGGGCCCTGAGTTCAATCCCCAGTACCAACAAAAAACAAACTCTTAAGCACTTAGTACAGGAGGAAGTCGATCAATACTCCATTCCTGGGGATCACCGGTTTCCGGGTCCCCCTGCATTCTCCAATATGCAGTCTTTCTCTTCTCTTTTCTCCAACTAAATTCTCTGCAAATAAAATCTTTC